CGCCGGAGCCCAGCAGGTCGAGGCTGCGGTGGCCGGGAGCGGCCACCGCATCCCAGTCTGGGTGACAGAGTGAGACTCCAACTCAAAAAAAAAGCAGCTCAGGTCTGTAGGTCCAGCTGGGCACAATCTGGTCCCCTCCTCAGTCTTGCAGGGTACAATCAGAGTGCCCACCAGATGGCGCTCTCCTCTGAGCTCGGGGGTCTCTTCTGAGCCCAAGAGGTTGTGGCTGATTTCAGTTCCTTGTGGTTATAGGACCGAACTCCTCGTTTCCCTGCTGCCAGCCGGGGTTGCTCCCAGCTCCTAGGCGACCTGCACTCTGCCACGTGGTCCCCTCAAAGCCAGCAATGGCGTGGGTGTCCTTGTGCTTCAGATCCCTTTTACTTGTGCTTCTGCCACCAGCTGGAGAAAACAGCCAGCAAGGAAATAGGAGCCTCGGTCCTCCAACTGCCAAGAACTGAATTCTGCCACCCACCCAAGAGAGCCGAAAAGAGGAATCATCTCCAGAGTTTCCAGTGAAGGCCCGGCCCAGGGACGTCTTGATTCTGGCTTCCTGAAGTATCCAGCTGAGCCGACCCAGACTTTTCAGCCTTGACCTCCTGGGCTCAGGCAGTCCTCCTGCCTCAGCCTTCTGAGTAGCTGGGACTAGAGGAGTGTGCCAACTCAGCCAGCTAGTTTTCTTTTCTTTTTCTGTTTTTGAGTTGGGAGTCTCACTCTGTTGCTGGCACCCTCATGGCCATCCAGCGTTGACCTGCTGGGCTCTGGCAATCCTTCCGCCTCAGACTTCCAAGTAGCTGGAACTACAGGCGTGCATTACCACGCCCGGCAAATTTCTTGGCTTATTGTAGAGACGAGGTCTCATCAAGTTGCCCAGGCGTGTCTCAGACTCGCAGGCTCAAGCAATCCACTCGCCTCGGCCTCCCAAAGTGCTGGGATGACAGGCTGAGCCACCCAGCCTGGCCTTTTAAAATTTTTTGTAGAGATGAGTTCTCACTGTGTTGCCCAGGCTGGTCTTGAACTCCTGGGCTCCAGCGATCTTCCCGCCATGGCCTCCCAAAGTGCTGGGAAGACAGGCGTGAGCCCGGCCCCACTGGCTGTAAACCGACAGACTTACGGCCCACCTCAGGGTCCCTCCGGAGAGCATCTCTGTGTGAGGATGGATATCATGAGCTACATGGAATCGTGAACCACTCACCTCATTGGTTCCTCCTTGGGAAGCATAGGTGAACGTACACGTGTACCTGCCCTAGAAAACGGAAGAAAAAGAAAGGCTTGGTCGAAAGCAGCCCTTAGTGCCAAAGGCGCTGGGGTCTCAGAACCCCAGAAACAGGAAGATCTCTCTCTTCGAGCACCTGTGCCGAGAGGGAAGGAGGTAGCGCAGATCCCTCGCCCTGGCGGCCAGCGCTGCAAGAACGTCGGCGGCTGCCTCCCTGCTCCGAGCTCCGGGGTCGGGACCAGGGGCCCACGTGTCCAGCGGGAGACGAAGAACAGGGAGGCGGGAGCCCAGCCCCTCCGGCATTCCGCCTCCAGCAACACGGGCATCGGAAGCCCAGGGGCCCGGGGCAAGCGAAACGCTCCTGAGCCTCGGTGTCCTCATCTG